GTAACATATACATATACAGGACTCACGGATGTATCACTATTATCATTATATATTTGTCCTATAAATAACTACATTTCTTATTGATCAATCCAATTCATACTTATGTTTATTTAACTTAGGGATAAAAATGACATTTGTCTCACTAATTCGAGTATAAATTGACCAAAACCCACCCCATGAATTCGATGAAACTCATTTAAGAATTTAAGGTATCGGATCAGTTACGAGTCGAAACTGTTGTCCATGACTTAAAAAAGTCATTCAAATCAAGCTTTTGACAGTCCATTAAATTATTTTTTTCAAATTCACGCTTGCCAAGTCACCATAGTCACTTACCAAACAACCCCGTGAATGTAATAATTGGCATGCCGGCCTCAGCAACAACAAGGTGGTTTTCCCCCCAAATTAATTATAATTAATGTCTCCGATTTGATCAATTTTTCTTTGTTAGATCATTATCATTGGGTCCTAGTGTTGGGACCCATTAGTAGGATTCATTTATGATGACAGATGGATGATCCAATTTAATCAAAACTGTCTGGATACAATACTTATCCGTTTGTTCTCTCCGATCCATAAAACAAGGATGGGTCCAAGGTACCCATAAAAACATTGGTTTAATATAAAAAAATAAATCCTAATCATTGATTTATTTTAAATCATAATCGCTAATTTTAATAATACTAAAATATATATATATATAAAAAAAACAATGTTTATGGGTACACGGTGACCCACTTGGACCCATAAAATTAGGGATGTCAATTCTTAATGTATCGTGTTGCGTAAATTATATAGTATTTGTGTCAATATTTACAAAAAAATTCATTTATTGTGTGATACGTATTAAACATTAATCTAACTCATTTATTATGTATATTTATTAATCATGTCAATTTTAAAATTGTGTCTCAATTTATAGAGGCATTGGTGGAGAGTTGATTACTACACCAATTTTTTTTTTTGATACCATGCTTCAATTTACCATATTTTTGACTATTTTTTACAATTTTTTGTGGATGCTTTGATTATTGTCTTGATACCAAAAACAATAATAAAAATGGCTACTACAGTGGTAGTAAAAATATTCACAAAAGTAATAAATTATTCACAAAAATAATATATTTTTTTGTATCAAAGAAAAATGGTAAAAATAGTTACTACAAATGTACACCCACACAACAGTGATAAAAATACCCACAATAATGATAAATTACCTACAAAAGTGATAAATTTTTTAGTTATAAAATTATAGTAACACCAATTAAAATGGTAAAAATTAGAGGTATGACACTGAAATTTTTACTTCCATAACTTAAGTGATGTTTGATAAAATTAAATGCAGAAATCTGAAAATTGAAAGTTGAATGTTGAATTCGTGAAATATTTGGTACCCACTATAATTTAAATACTAAATTGAACTAAACTATTTTATAACTAAACAAAGCTGATGTTTAAAAATAAATTTAATAAATTAATTTTCAGTTTTATTCTTCATTTCTTTACTTTAAAATTATTTATAAAATATAATTTTATCTAATAAAAAATTACGATACATGAAATCATTTTAATTAATAACATAAATGTAATCACTATTATCATATTATAATCTACATATTGAATAATAAAATAAGTGAAAAATAACTAATAAATATTCCAAAAATATTTAATCAAATAGAATAAATTAAATTTTTTTTTCAACAAAAAATAGAACAAATTAGAATATTTAGATTTTAATATGTGTGCAGTCTGCACAGAGTGTGTGTGTAATTCTTTGTGTATGCATGTGTGCAGAGTGTGTGTAATTATATGTGTATATGTGCGCAGAGTCTATGTGTGTGTGTTGCAGAAGAGGAGGGAATAAAATATACTACCACCAAAGAAGAAAAAAAAAAAAAAGAGGACGGGCCGGGGGGGGGGGGGGGGGGGGGGAGATGATAGATAGATTAGGGGTTTTTGAGAAAAGATTAATTAAAGTTTTAATATGATTGTGAAATATTTCGGTGTAAAATTATTATATTATAAAATTATTAAATATATTTTTACTAAGCGCTTTTAGCTTTCAAAATTAAGTAAATGATTATAGTTTTATTTTTAAGGAGTATTTAATGTATTTAGATATTCAAATTTGTCTTATTTTAATTCTCAATATTTTTAATCTCATCATTTTGATTTTTAAAGTATTGAATATGTTTGTATGTGGTATCTCAAACAAACAACATCTAAATTACTAACGATTTTTTATCGTAAACATATTACGTGATATATAAATATTAGTTATTACCTGTGCCTGAAGGCACAGAATAATAAAAAAATAATCAATAATAAATATATTTGTATTCACATTTAAAATTAAATCACAAATATAGAGAACAAATTACTGAATTTAAACATCGGTTATAGTGAGAGTGTGTGATGGTAGTGGTGATGGGTAGCAATGGCGATGGGGGGTAGCGACGGTGGCGATGACGATAGTGGTGGTAGTGGTGATGGTCGTGAAGGGTGGTGGTGAGGCGATAAGCGATAATGGTGGTAAGGGTGATGGTTGGACAGTGACGGTGGTGTGGGATAAAAGTGACAGTAGTGGTGGTAATAGTGGTGGTGAGGATAGTGTGGATGGTGGTCAGGCGGTACGGGTGGTTGGGTGGCTGCAGTAGTAATGACGATGATGGTGATAAAAAGGGGTAGTGGTGGTTGTTGTGACAGAAGTGAGTGATGGTGGGGTGGCGATGGTGACAGGGTGGTGGTGGGGTAGAGGTGATAGTGGTGGGGGTGGTGATGGTGGGTGTAATGGAAATGGTGGTAGTTGGGGTGTGGTGGTGGTGGGATGATGATGGTGGTAATGATAGGAGTGGTATGGTGACAACGACGATGGTGATGGTAAAGGGCAGGGGGGTGGTGATAATGGTGATGATTGTGGTGAGACGGTGGGTGGTGGTGGTGAGGTGGCGATAGTGGATGTGGATGTGATAGTGATAGTGGTGATGATAATGGGGTGATGGGGGGTGATGGTGGTAGTGGTGGTAGTGAAGTGGTTCCAAACATTACTTTTTTTTTAAAAGTATTTATGAGAAATTATAAGTATTAAAAGTACTTTTAAAAAGTCACTTCAAACACACCTTTAAGAGACTATTTTTTTTAATTAAATTTGGAGTGTTAATAATAGCCGTCAGATTAACTTTAAAATAAAATTGACAGAGATCTCAACGACGAATAGTAAAAATTATTTATATTTATCTTTTAAAATTTGAATTGTATTATACTTTATTATATAGATAGACAAAAAATAATCTAGGTAGTTTTTAACCAAATTTTGGACAACTCTTGGCAAAAAATATGTAATATGGCTAACACTTGACCAAAATTTAGATAGTTTATGATCAAAACTGTATAATTTGGGTAACACTTTAACCAATATTTGAATAAAAATTTAGATAAGAGTTATTTAAATTATTTTTTTTCTTATATTTAAATATTACGTGATAAATTTATAGTAAAAAATTGTTAGTAATTTGAATGTTATTTTTTTAAGGGATCACATAAAAATATATTTAATATTTTATAAATTAAAATATTAAAAATTAAAATAAAATAAACTCTATACTTTGAGAATCAATTAACCCATTAATAAATGCCAAATTCATTTTAAAGGTTGAAGTTAGATTAACAAACACATCAGTAGTCAAAGTCCGTGGGGTAGACAGATTATTGCCGTCCTGGATTAAACAAAACTATCTGAGAAAGTTGAATCCGTGTACGGTATGTCCCTATCAATCTCCTGCATTTAGTATGTACGGAAGCGGGAGCTTTGACTATACTTGATAGAAACGTTGTCGTTTTTCATTTTTAATATTACCCATACTTTGATTTTAATGGATCACAAAAATCCAAGGAAAAACCAACCGAAACTTCCTCTCTTTTTTTAACCTATTAATTCGTCGATTCAATCCTTGCAATGACAGCCAGACAAACTGAAAACATAGAAATGATTGGAGATAATTACAAAGAAATTCCATTGTAATCTCCATGATAAATATCAACCTAATATTCCATTTTCCAGGGCGTCTAAGATTAAGCCAGGGGCCAAAAACATAAATAAAAAAATTAATTAAATGGTGTAAAAAATTTCTCTCCCACCTACAATAACAAGGATTAAATTGATTGTAAATTTTATTTTTAAAGTTCAGCTATGAGAAATATATTAATATTCAAAGCACAATTACAATACAAAAATTGAAACTTAAATCAATTCAATTGAAACTTAAAATATGAACAAATAAGAACAATAATTTTTTTAGTAACAAATTTCAACTCAAATCATATATTAAAGAGAAACACAACAATATTATTTAAAATCTCAAGAATCCTCTATAATTAAATAGTTATATGATAAATTTTTAAGTATTTTGTTTATTCTTGTTGAGAAATTAATATTGTTAGAAGGGTTACGTTGTTTCAAATCCCAAGAATGTTTATAATTGATCAATTCTGTGATAAAATTGTAAGTACTTTTTTTAATCATGTTGATAAATTAATATTTTTTGGAAGGGTGATAAGTAATGTTATTATACAATAATTTTACAAAATAAGAGAAAGTGTATTATATAAGAGAGACATTGTATTTGACTAATATATATATGATGAGTTAATGAACCACACATTTGTTTTATTTATTTTAATTACAAAAACACTTGTTTTAAAAAATTAATGATATAATTGGACTGCTAATTTGAATTTTTTATTTGGTGTTATGTCATTTAAGTATCAATAAAAATTTTAAATAATATGTTATTATATTATTTAAATTTTAAATTTAATTTTAAAATTTAATCAATATAGCATTCCTTATTCCTTAAAAGAAGAAGTGGCCCCATGCCCAAAAACATAGTATTACTCGTATCAAAAACCAGCTGTAATGTTAATGTTAGACAGATAAAATGTTCTGACCCAAAAAAAAAGAAAAGAAAAGACAGATGCAATGTTTTCCACTATATATATATATGGCTACCCATCATCTGTATTTTCCGGTACTTCTATGGTATAACCTTTCAACTCTCTCTCTCTCTCTCTCTCCTTCTACCTGAACATTTCTCTCTCTCAAACAGACACTCTCTCCCCCTCTCTCTGGCAAGTCACAAACAGACATGTATAAAGTTGCAAGTGCATCAGAATACCTGGTGATCACCGGTGTTGGCATCGGTGACATAAAAATAGCTAAGAAAGCATGGATCCTTCCGGGTCAATCTTGGACCGTCTTCGACATCTCACCTGTAAATTACACCTTCGAAGTCCAAGCTATGAGCGCCGAAAAGCTCCCTTTTGTCCTCCCGGCGGTCTTCACCATCGGCCCACGGATCGACGACGACGATAGCCTCCTCAAATATGCTAAGCTCATCTCTCCCCATGACAAACTCTCTCACCATGTCAAAGAGCTCGTCCAAGGCATCATCGAAGGCGAAACTCGTGTCCTAGCAGCCTCAATGACCATGGAAGAAGTTTTCAGAGGAACCAAAGAGTTCAAGCAAGAAGTGTTTGCGAAAGTTCAACTTGAACTTAACCAGTTTGGACTTTTGATCTACAATGCAAATGTCAAACAGTTGGTGGACGTGCCAGGGCACGAGTATTTCTCTTACTTGGGTCAGAAAACTCAGATGGAAGCTGCGAATCAAGCGAAAGTTGATGTTGCAGAGGCGAGGATGAAGGGAGAGATCGGCTCGAAGCTTCGAGAGGGACAGACGCTTCAAAACGCGTCAAAGATCGACGCGGAGACGAAGATTATATCGACGCAGAGGCAAGGAGAGGGGAAGAAAGAGGAGATAAAGGTGAAGACTGAGGTGAAGGTTTTCGAGAACCAGAGGGAGGCAGAAGTGGCGGAGGCGAACGCCGAATTGGCAAAAAAGAAGGCTGGATGGGCTAAGGAGGCGGAGGTGGCGGAGGTGGAGGCTACAAAAGCGGTGGCTCTCAGGGAGGCTGAGTTGCAGAGGGAGGTTGAGATTATGAATGCATTGACTCGTACGGAGAAGCTTAAGGCTGATTATTTGAGCAAAGCTAGCGTTGAGTATGAAACCAAGGTATCCGTTCTCCTCGGATTAAAAAAATATTATTTTTTGTAAATAATTTGTTGATTTAGTTAGATTTAATTTTTTAGAATGAATTTAATTTAATTAAGGACTTAATTCACTACAATTCAATTATTAGAATATTTGTGAATTTCAATGTTTAATAAAATCCACTTTCAATTCAATAATTGTATTAAATTAATTCTTAAATTATATTCAAATAGTATTTTTCAATTTTTATGGTAATAGGAATGATCTTCGTTGATAATTAATATTAGAATCAACCGCTAACGAGGGCGGAGCTAGGAAATCATTTCTCCGTGGGCACTTTAACAAGTTAATTTTCTTCTCCAAATCGATAAAAAGTAGATGATATATTTATATTTTTGTACATCCTATTTGATAGTTATAAATTCATTAAACACGAAATACTGAAACCAAAAAATATCGAAAAAGACTAATTATAACCTTTTATGAAAAATTGGATTAATTATGTCCATTTTACAATTCGTCCAATTAGTTTTCATATTTTAAAATTGTTGCATCATAACTTTATTTATTAATGTCATTGAAAATACATTTCTTTTTGGACGTAGCTATTATATGATGACTCTAATGTTTGTACAATACCAAAATCATCTCACAATTTTCATTTTAAAAATTATCTCAATACATTAAAAACTCATTCCAACTTGTCCAAAAATTTATCAAATTTACAGTTTAAAAATTTTAAGGGAATAGGGTGGGCACCCTATTCATTTACTAGCTCTCCCAATAACTACTAATCCAACAACAACAATTGATTAAGTTAGTAAATTAGTTCAGAATAATATTATTTTTTTGAGCTGTCTTAAGTGACAATTACCGATATCATATTTTAATTGGTAACAAGTAATCATATCATATCATTCATTCGTATTTAGTATTCATTGCTGCAACATAAAATATCTGAGGCACGTAATGTCGACCATGTAAATTTCACATTATTTTTTTTCCTTTTTTGTCAGTCTACCATTATCCTCTAGCATATATGCATCTAGATCTTATACACACATAAGTAGTATAATAAATAACATCGAGTATAGGTTAAGATAGCGATCCAAAAAAAAGCTTATTTAATCTTGTTTTGCAAAAGGGATTCACCTAAATGCTAGAATAAAATCAGGTTAAGATAGCGATGCAGAAAATTTTTATGTAAACCTAATTTTTTAATTCTGGTATAGATTATCTGTCTTTGACCGGACTGGAGATAAAATTAATTGAAGTGCATGTAAGTTAGTCTGGACGCTTCGGACTGTTGAACAAAAAAAAAACAAGTGGTTTATCGGTGTAATTGATTATTTTATTTATTTTTTTTTTGGAAAAATGGGGATTTGAACCATTGATCTCAAGAAGACAAAACCTTCACAAGATAAAAAATATCATTGGACAAAAGGCCCGTTGGCCCTATATAAGTGATTATAGATAGATAATACCGATTATAGATAATACCCTCGTATATGTATATGTGCATTGCTACACCGAACTCGGAGAAAAGGAGCAAATTGTGCAGGTAAAAAATTACTTTAATAAACTTTAAAAAAAAAAGTATAAAAAAAAATTCAAAAAAAAGGGTCACCAAGCAATAGATTTTTTTTTTTTTTTTTTCTTTTTTTGTGCTTATGTGTAAATAGAAATAACCTTTAATCTCTTGAAGTTTATAAAGAGCCATATGATGCAACTTGATGTGCATGTCTCATTACATTCTGATTAAATCAAAAGGTACAAGAAGCAAACTGGGAGCTGTATAAGAAACAAAAGGCCGCCGAAGCAATTTTGTACGAGAGGGAGAAAGAAGCGGAGGCTCAGAAGACGATCGCCGAGGCTGCTTTCTATGCTCGTCAACAGGTTGCCGATGGAGAGTTATATGCGAAAAGGAAAGAGGCTGAAGGACTTGTGGCTCTTGCACAAGCCCAAGGCAGCTACTTGCGCACCCTCCTCGATGCATTGGGAGGAAATTATGCGGCACTGAGGGATTACCTGATGATTAATGGCGGACTGTTTCAAGAAATTGCGAAGATCAATGCTGATGCCGTGAATGGATTGCAGCCAAAAATCAGCATTTGGACGACAGGGGGTGGCGGAGAGGCAGCCCTTGGTGGTGGGAGTGATGCCATGAAGGAGGTTGCTGGTGTCTACAGGATGTTGCCACCTTTGTTTAAGACTGTGCAGGAGCAAACTGGAATGCTACCACCTGCATGGATGGGTGCCTTGACTGATTCTAGTCACTCTTAAACTGAATTTACATCGAATAATTCTACTTGGAACTAAATTAGTGGCTCAACCATTGTTGCTGTTAGAATGTTGATAGTAGACTCGATCTAATACTTGGATCTTTGATTAATCCTGTGATTAATCCAACGGCAACAATGGACTGAATCATCAAGTTAAGTCCAAGCAGTAGACATTATCTATTGTCATATCAATTTTTTTATGTGTTTGTGGATGTAAGTTTATTATATTAGATGAATAATGTTGGAGTATAGATAGTCTAAGTTTATTAGGATTTCTTTTCCTAGGTTTATTAGGATTTTTTTTCCCATTTTTACCTTTACTATGATTTTTATATTTTGCCTATATATACGGAGTTTTACTCTTAATTTGAGTATCTCCTTTTACTCACAATTATTCCAAGTTGGTATCAAAGTCATACACTAACCCTACCCCAAACCCTAACCTTCTCCCCAACCTTAGCCTCCACCGAGACTGCCTCACCGGCAAACTGCCTTTAAGCAAAACCAGCCACCGCCGAAACCACCCTGGCCATCAGCTGCCCAGCGAAATCGACCAAACCAGCGACAAAACCAGTCCACCTACTGCCCATACCAGGCCACACCGACAGCCCCAAAATCCATACACCGACGGCCCAGGCAACAAACAGTCTTCCACCGACTGCCCATCCTCATACCAGTCCATACACGGACTGCCTATCCTTATACCAGTCCATACCAGCCCCTAGCCGCATCCCAGTTCAACCAGTCCATACCGATCCTCACCTGCAAAATCGAATACCCACCTGCACTGACAAATAATAATAATAGATCCAACCCAATAAACCCAATAAAACCACTCCTACTGCTAGATCATTGTCCAGCCCACTGCTGGGTCACAACTTTCGTTGTGATTTTATTCTAGGATTTTTTTGGGAGGGAGCGGATCCTCTTTTCTATTGATCTGCCCTTGATGCAGTAGATCACTTATTTATATATTTTGGATTTTTGGGCACCGTGACTTGATTATTTGGGAGCTTTTTGCACCTTCCCTATTTGTCGCTACTGTTCGACTGAAGGTATATTGTTCTCCCTTATTTTATTCCTCTATTTATCTTAGAGTTATTTTTCTGTCACGGGTGCCCTAGTATTGTTGTTGATATGACTACTACTGAGGGACTTGAGAACCCTACTGTTGACACCTCTATCGTTGAGACATCTATGGGTACTTCCACTTTTATGTTTGACCAGTATACAGTGCCTACTAGCACAGTTGCATTACCAGCATTACCGGGCATGATCTCTCAAAAAGTTACGGCACAATTGTTGAATGGTCGTAACTTCGCTGAGTGGTCACGCTCATTCCAGCTTTTCTTAGGCCGTGTAGGGAAGCTTGGTTGGCTGACGGGATCTCACCCAAAGCCAGCTGATGCCGACCCTGGATATTCTGCATGGTTCTCTGAAAACTGTGTCATTCTTGGATGGTTATTTGGCTCAATGGAGCCCTCTGTTTGCAAGATCCACCAGTTTCATAGCTCTGTTCCGAAGCTATGGAGCGCATTATCAGAGATGTATTCTCAGTCAGGACGGGGAGTTCGTGTTTATGAGCTTTCTCAAGAGCTCTCATATGCTCGACAGGGAGATATGACCGTTCAGGATTATTATGGCTATTTGACCCAGCGCTGGCTTGAGTATGAGTCTTTATGTCCTCTTGCTGCTATTCCGAAGATAGAGCCCGAGGGAGCAGCATTCTTGCATACTCGAGAGCAGGAGGATAGGATTCACAAGTTCCTTATGGGACTTCGTGATGAGTTTGAGGGACCTCGTTCTCAGATCTTGTCGATGTTGACACTTCCTTCTCTTTATGAGGTGTATGAGATGATTGAGCAGCATGAGCGTCGAGTCCGTATTGCATCACTTCCAGTTGCAGCTTTGCCTCCTTCGATTGACCAGATGGCCCTTGCAGTTACTGTAAGGTCCTGTTCAGGATCCTTAGTCAGGGATAGGCAACGCTCAGACCAGCGCCGTCAGGGCGCCCCAGATCAGCGCAGACGGGGGGATTCCCGTCAATGTGATTATTGTGGCCGACCAGGACATCTCAGGGCTACTTGCTGGAAGCTCCATCCAGAGCTTAAGCCACCTTCTCGCAGCCGTACTGTTGCTATTGCTGAGGTACCACCGCCCACTGCCGCCACTCCTGCTACTGCTCCTCCTTGGCAAAGTGATATGAATGCTATCACTTCCCGATTAGATATACTTATGTCTGCTCTGACTTCTCAGAGTCTGACTACTGCTGCTGTCACCACTACAGGTATATCTCGTGCCTTTCACGCTTGTGCCAGTTCATCTCCCCTTTGGATGTTAGACTCGGGTGCGAATGGTCACATGACAAGTGAGGCCCATCACTTCACCACTTTTGACGAGCCATTACATACACAGGTTCAGTTAGCAGATGAAACACATGCCCCTATTGTTAGTAGGGGTACAGTCCGTCTCCCAGATGGCCTTACATTACATTCGATTTTTCATGCGCCAAAGTTGGCCATGAATCTATTATCTGTACATCAGTTAGCCAGAGATTTTCACTGTGCGGTTGTATTCTTATCTGATTCGTGTTATTTGCAGGACCTGAGTACCAGGAGGATTATTATCAAGGGACATGAGAAAGATGGACTGTATTATCTTGGCAATCCATCTCCAGTTTCACCAATTCCTTCACCTGCACCTGCTTTGTCTTTTTCTGTTCCTAGCTTGCATGCTAGTATTTTACCTAGTAGTTGTCGTTATGATTTTTCGTCACAAACTGTTCAATTGTGGCATGACCGTTTTGGACATACAAATTTTAAATATTTATGTATGTTGTTTCCTGCTTTGAGTAATGCTTGTGTTGGTGGTAAACTTGATTGCGTTATCTGTTCCCTATCAAAACATGTTAGGGCCAATTATATTCCTCGCATGCACCAGTCACCCAAGCCATTTGACCTAATACACTCTGATATTTGGGGACCCTCTCCCGTTACTGCTCTGTCAGGTGCCAGATATTATGTGACATTTATAGATGATCATACCCGTTGTACTTGGGTCTACCTTTTGCATAGGAAGTCTGATGTGCTCCCTATAATCTCTCAGTTTTTACAGATGATTAAGACACAATTCGATGTCATTGTTCGTGCTCTTCGTTCGGATAATGCCAAAGAATATGTGTCTGATGCTTTAGTGTCTCACCTTTCTTCTCAGGGTATCCTTCAGCAACTCACTTGTCCATATACTCCTGAGCAAAATGGTGTTGCTGAGCGGAAAAATAGGAGTTTGATAGGGATGGTACGTTGTCTGCTTAGAGGCATGAGGGTACCAAAATCTTATTGGCATTTTGCTGTTTTGACTTCTACCTTTCTGTGCAATCGTACGCCGAGTTGTGTTCTTCAGCATAAGGCTCCCTTACAGGTCTTATTTCCTGAGCGGACACTTTTTCCGGTCCCCCCTCGTATTTTTGGATGCACATGTTTTGTTCAGGATCGGTCTCCTACTCGTCATAAACTTGATGATAAAGCGATTCGTTGTATCTTTGTGGGCTATTGTCATCAATCTAAGGGGTATCGATGTTATGATCCTATTAGGCGTCGTATGTATCACAGTCTAGATGTTACCTTTCTTGAGCATATTCCTTATTTTTCTTTCAGTCCTTTGTCTGCCCCTCCAGTTGATGATACTCCATTTGATTTTCCATTACCACAAGAGTCAGAGTCATTGATCACTATCCCTACAGGGTCATCCGTTTTTCCTCCAAAGGAGTCACTCATCCCTGTCAGTACAGAGTTACCAGTCTCTCTTCCTTTGCAGGTGTATGCTCGTTGTCCTCGCTCTCATCACCCTGCTGATATCCCCTCTACCTCAGGCGATGCAGGTAATACTTCTCAGTTTGTTGAGCATATTGATGCACCTGTTGTTAGTACTGATGAGATTACAGGTGCTGAGCTAGTTACTTTACCTGATAAGATATTATCAGTAGAGGATGGTGATTTAGGGCGTCGTTATCCAAGGCGTGATCGCCGTCCAGTTGATCGATATGGTTGGACCGCCAAGATTTTATATCCGATCTCTGCTTATGTTTCTTATGGTAATCTGTCTCCCACATTTCGAGCTTATACTATGGTCTTATCAGATACGCTGGTTCCTCGCTCTATTTCGGAAGCTATGCGGGAGCCCCAGTGGGTTCTTGCCATGCAGACAGAGATGGACGCTCTTCAGCGTAATCATACATGGGATCTTGCCTCCTTACCTTCAGGGTGAAGCCTGTTGGTTGTCGCTGGGTTTACACCCTGAAGTTTCTTGCGGATGGTACTATTGATCGTTACAAGGCTAGACTTGTGGCGAAGGGCTTTACTCAGGTACCAGGTCGTGATTTTGGTGCTACATTTGCCCCCGTGGCAAAATTGACTACTGTTCGGTTAATTATTTCTCTGGCTGCGGAGTACTCTTGGCCTCTTCATCAATTAGATGTGAAGAATGCGTTTCTTCACGGTGATCTGGACGAGATTATTTATATGGATGCACCACCGGGCTTTCGTGGTGAGGGGGAGTATACTGGAAAGGTATGTCGACTGCATAAGTCTCTTTATGGACTGAAACAGTCGCCACGAGTCTGGTTCTCTCGCTTCAGTGATGTAGTCATACGATTGGGGTTCACCAGGTGTCATTCTGATCATACCTGCTTTATTCGACGGAATACTTCTGGACAGTGTGTCATCCTTCTGGTATATGTTGATGATATTATTATTACTGGTGATGATGTTTCTGGGACTGCGCAGGTCAAGATAGACCTTGGGAAGGCCTTCGATGTGAAGGATCTTGGATTTCTGCGATACTTTCTTGGGATTGAGGTTGCCCGTAGAAGCAGAGGTATTGTTCTTTCTCAGAGAAAGTATGTTTTGGATCTTCTTTCAGACACTGGGATGTTGGGGTGCAAACCGGCATTATCACCTATGATTCCAAACCTGAAGCTTACTGCTGAAGGTGAGGAGTTGA